TTTTTGGCCGTTGTACGGTTCGAGATGAGGTAACGACCATGACGTTGACAAATAAAATGTCAGAATTCACACGATTGCAAACCTATACTATAAAAGTTAAGGGACCTACAAATAAAGACACGAGACTACTAAATGCAGTTCTATTCATGTTAATTTCAAGTCAATTTGGAGGAAGGTGGATATCCAATATTCTCTGTATTTTGGATGGTCACATTAGAAACATGAAGACGTTGAAAAATCTGAACGGTCAACCACTGTATCGTGCATTGTGCATAATCATAGACAGTTTACTTCTCGAATCAAGTATCAATTTAAAAAAAAAAAAAGTAATAATAAATAAATAAATAAAATATAATAGCAAGTGGTACCTTTTTTCTTGTAATATATCTAACTTTGTATATAAAAAATAAAACAAAAAAAAAGATTTTCACATAACCAAAGCATTTAGAAACAAAGAGGATTTATATGTATTTATCCATATATGCCTAATATATATCTCTAAAATAATCAAGTGCTTTGTCTAAATTAACTGATGTATCATTCTTATTTTTTCTTCCTTCTCAACTTCCTCTTATATTAAAGATAGAAAATCTTAACACCAAAATTTAGAGTTTTTACAGGTTGGGTCGAATTTAGCATTACATCCAATTTTCTACAATTGTAAATTCTGCTATGGTACAGAGATAATAATAGATCACTCTCTTGCTCTACAAAGCTCTCGAGGTACCACAACAATGGTACGTAGCTTCTAAGTACCACAATAATTAATGACTACTTAGACTTTTACAAAGAATACGCTTGCAAAACTCATGGACAACGGGTTGTTGACAAATTTATGCAGTCTTCTAATCCTCTCGTTCTCACCACTCAACTTCAAGCACTTCTGGTGTGTTTTTAAAACTTGGCAAAAAATGAAGATTATATAGCTTTATCATCGTAGCACTGTGAATGTTATCCCCAACGTCGAGACCCCGCGAACTTGTAGCGTCATAAGCAAGGCTTTTTGTCATTTCTTTCTTCATCGGGTGTAGCAGTAGTGTTGAGATGCTACATACTACGAACACGTAGTATCTCTTGATTCTGCCTTGCGCCAGCCTTGTGACGCTTTGGTCAGTATCTTGATGCAATCCTCTCGAACACCAACTATGAACCCCTGTTTTGGCTCCACGATCCTAACATGTCAGTTACTTGGGTTTGGCCCCAAGATCCATTATTTCCTTGAACTTTTGTCAATCCTCCTGTTTGGACATATTCGACCCTTGGAGCTACTTGATATGATGCATCTTTTATAGGATAAGGTTTTCAAAGTCTACTTTTAACACTCTTTCGGTGGCACCTTTCTATGCTTAATTAGGAATGGTAGTATTACTATTTTCAGCTCGATTATTGTTGGGCAGTCTTTCCATCCTATTTTTTGTCAAGCCGTCAATGTGGTAAACCAACCAAATTCAATTTCACTTTGTGTTCTTTGCCTCTCACTTTGCAGCCAAATTGAGCCCATTCTAGCCAATTGCTATTTTTTCTCTTTTGGATTTACCATTAGAATTTTGTATAAAATAACTTTTAACTTAATTCATTCTCTTGAACATAATTCTATCCAACACTTTGAGAGGGCTTGCTTCTTTTTGCACTTCACACCCTTGTGAAAATTTGTTGAAAATGAGAATGTAGACTCATATATGATATATAAGTAAATCATCACAACATCTCTATTAGTACGAGAATTATTTTAGGTGAAATAAAAAATAAATTACTTTGGTTCAACCCCGTGATGGTCACCTACCTTAAGAATTAATAATTCCTATGTGTTTCCCGACACCAAATGTTGTAGGGTCAGGCAGTTGTCCCGTGTCCATCTGCGCACGTAAGATGGGCCGGACACTCACAGATATCAAAAAAAATAAAGAAAAAAATCAATGTAGATTTAAGAGGCAGTTGCAAATATGACAAAAACATTTAGTAAAATTAGGAAAATAACAATCACATTTAGTTTTTCTTAATATAACACTTAACGGAGGTCCAGTTTTAAAATGACAACTTTACCCAAATGATATATATCTGTAATATATTTGTAATATATGTGACTATTGATATATGTATGTGATATACTACTGATATGAGTGTGTCTGATATACTCGTAATATGTATGTGATATACATTACTACTAATACGAGTGTCTGATATATTATTGATATGAGTAGCTGATATATTACTGATATAAGTGAAAATTTGTGCTATATTTGAAAATTTAAAAAATAGATGATATATTTTGAAATACATGAAAAATTTTGCTACCCGCTGCAATTTCCCTAAATTTAAATGCAAGTTCAAAATAAAAAATAAATAATATATGGTAGAAATATGGAGAACCGTTATTCTACCAAAGTTGTCTCGCTTAGTTTGTAGTCATTGTAACTAACTTTTAAAGTAGAATATTTGGTTTATTTTTGTGGCTCAACTTTTTCTTTTTTTCCCTTCGTGGCACTTTGGTTGCCATCTCACCCACTATGTAGCCCTTAAGCCAGCCTTGAGTTGCTTACAACGACTTCACATTAAACCAGCACTAACTTTGCCCATACACCCTAAGTTGTTCCTCGTACTACTTGATGCATGAAAGATTTCCCAACACTTGTTCCAATTGTCCTCATCATGACTTGTGCAAATTGGCACCTACTTCTTTCTCTACCTAAAACATGATCTTTTGAACCATAGTTTAAAAATGATCGATCAATGTTACTTTTTAATGTTTAAATTTTGTTTTGCTATTTGTATTTTTACCTATGTTAGGAGGCAAGGTTGCGTGCAACGTCGGATAAGCTAAGTGGTCAGGATCTACCCCTAAGTCGACAAATCATACCCAATGTGAGTTCTGATGTCACAAGGTACTTGGGAAACAGTTCTACAGTTGATAATATGGGTAACTGCTCAATTATCCTTCTGTAAATACACTTCTTTCCACTCCACTCCATCAAGTATACAATTATATCTGAAACTAATCTGTCTAGCTCAAACTCAAAACTAACTTAAGTGTCATAATGTTCTACCTATTTTTGCAGGTCTTCCTTCTCCAACCCATTCCGTAGCAGCTCGCTAGAGTGGAGTTCGCGTCAGTCTTCGACACTTAACAGAAATCAGCATCAACAAAACATACATTTTTATAAGTCTCAATTTTCATTGAACTTCATATTTGACCCGAACAATCAAATGATTGTTTTTACCACATATAGTAGAGTTGATCCATGGTAGATCAATTAGTTGATTGAAAAACTATAGTTGATAGGAAAAAGTCTGACGTATGCTTATACGCTACCTAGGATCAAATCAAGAGCACTCTCCAAAGCCACTTTATTTGAGCACTATCTTTTATGGGTAGGCCCATGAAGTGAAAGGAAAGAATCTCAATAGCTTCACGCCCATGTTGAATGCAAATCTTGCATCATTCTTTATCTCTTTAGAAAAGATCTCCCTTGTTAAGTGCACTCAAATGAACTTGAATATGGGACCCTCTACTCCAATGCAAGATGGATAAATTAACTCTAAAAATGACCAAACGGAAGGAGGGAGCAAAATCTATTTCTACACGTCACTGAGGATCAAGTTTAAAAGTAAACCCTCGAGGCTTACTTTGGCTGAGTTCATTTTCTTCTAAGGTAAGTCTTCCGAACCCAAATTAAGTACACCCAACAAATGAGAGGAGAAAGAACCCAGGGAGGGATTGAGTTTGTTGATGCAAAATTTTGTAGATGTCGGACCATTGGTCGGTAATGATTGAGGTCGGCTATTCATCCATAGGTCGGCTATGGATGAGCTTAGTAGCTCGACGGTAGATGAGCTTAGTAGCTCGACTATAGGCGAGTTTAGGAGCTCAATCAGTAATAGATGAGCGAAATAGCTCGGTCATAGGTGAGCTTAAGAGCTCAGTCATAGGTGAGCTTAGGAGCTCGGCATAGATGAGTTAAGTAGCTCGACCATATCTCACAATGTGGTAAGTTATATTTTTGCCTCCAAGAGAGTTGATGGACTAGATATATCGGGTGATTAACATGCATGATCAGTAAACTCTTTGAACTAAGTTCTGAGGTTGAGGTTCTTTATGGAAGGACAATAGTTCTTTGGAATAATGACTTGAGATAAGATGAATATCATCAAAACATGTTATATATATATTTTCTTATATAAATGAGAGTCGAAGGTTTTGCTTGTCCATACACAGATCAAGACGTGTCATATTTGAGCCAAATTAGCTTGGCTTAGCCATGGTTGAGTACCTTTCATTGATAGTGTGAGCTTGCTAATTTATGTAGATTATTATTATTTGAGTTTTATAAATTAGTTTTTAAATTTTGATTTTAATACTATTTTTGTCTCTATTCTCAATTTTGGTTTTGGTTTGTTTTGATCCATCCATCTATTTCAAAACATCTATTTTAGTCTCTTTGTTTTCAACTCCATTTTAGCACTTTATTTTGTAAACGTCTGTTTTGGTTCTTATATACTTTTTAAAAGTAACCATTTGGTTCCTTCATTTTCTTCTTTATTTCAATTTTTACGGTCACAATTTTAACACGACATTACAAAATAAATTTTTTGAAATGTAGTCATATTTTTGTAAGCTTGCATTGTGTTAAAAAAATAGACCAAAATAATCACTTTTGAAGATATAGGTTTGGAAATTATAACAAAAGTTGAAAGAATAGGGACCAATTTACAAATGAACCTCCTCAAAATTTTGAGACTGTAAAAACAAGCATAGTTGAATAGTAATTGACATATATCTCTAATAAGGTTGTTAGTTGGATCATCCACTCAATATGTTGTACTACAAAAAAAAATATAAAGACAAAGACGAATCAAATCCAGAAGTATTTCAACCTTACAAAATTTTGAAGGAAAAATAGATAAAAATTGGATCATAGGGAGTAAGAAATTTAGAAAAAATTCCTCTTTTACGAACACTGTAGCTTCATGATCCAAAATTCTGTCTCACGCACCCCTTTCCTCTTTTGCGTCTCCTTCAAAAATCACAGTTCTTGTCACGCTTTTTTCTTTTAATTTTTCTAATTTGATTTTCTCTTCGAACAACAGAGCAATCGAAACTGACACGCCAAAAAAAAGAGTGCCACTGTGTCTGTATTTGTTTGAGAGAGACGAACCCTGATATTATCCCTTCGTACACAGAGAAACCCAACAAAATTAACAAACAGACAAAAACCCACTACCCCACGTTTGCCCCCTCACTAATCCGCTGGTTAGCTTCGTTAATTTTCATTTCATGTTCTTGTAAATTTTGATTTCGTGCTGTGTATTCTGAAATGTTTGTGGAAACTGTTCGTGATTAGGAGTTAAAATTAGAAATGGAAAAAGAGTTATAATTATAAATAGCCCTCCGCAATCTTTTAATCTGGCTGGGGCTGGGACTGGGACTGTTTGTTAAATCTGAATACATATCTTCTTTGTTTGGGTTTGGGTTCGGGCAGTGGAATCGAATGCCATTTCTCCATCTGGGTTTCTGAGGATGTTGGCGGTTGAAGCTGCCCGTGGTGACCGAGACCCTGCAACTGCAAATCCCAGTTCCCTGCAATTTCGCGATGCTCGTTCAGCAGCTGGTAGCAGCGACATGTCGGCACTTGATGATTCCGACGACCAGTCGTGGCACTCGGTGTTCGACTCCACGGCCTGGGGATCCCACGGCGAGGCCGAGATTGAGGCCGAGATGGGCCATTTCGTCTCGGACAGCTCGTCGGAGGTGGATTTGGAGAGCGGGGATTTGGATTTGGAGCTGAAGCTGCATTTGGCCAAAATTGAAAGAGATTGCAGAATTTGCCACTTGGGTTTGGACAGCGGCGGCGGCGGCGGTGGCGGTGGAGGAACAGATTCCGACACTCCAATTCAGCTCGGTTGCTGCTGTCGAGGTGATCTGGGTACTGCCCACAAGCAATGTGCTGAGACTTGGTTCAAAATCAAGGGAAATACGTAAGTTCTTATTCTAATATACTCCCATTTTTTTCATCACATTTCTGAAACCCACTTAATTTTGTCATTAGCTTGCCTCTTGAAAACAGTTTAAGCTCCTGAAAGATTTTTTTCCTTTGGGTTGAGCATTGCTAGCTAGGGAAACAAAGTTAAAAACTCCTCTGGTTCTTGCTTTAAGCAACAATTTACTTGACTCTTCTGCCATGAATTCCCATCAAACACTTCATTTCTATGCTGTATTCTGTATATTCATTATGGCTACAAACTCTGAGTGCAGACAGCAACTGGTTTTCTTTGCTGTACTTGAAGTAGTCTACCTGATTCTGGTGGTTTCTGTCTGTTCTAACTTCCAAGTTGTTCAAATTTGCGTTGGGCTGTATCATGTGGATTAGAAATGAATGAAATATATGTCCTATCTGAAGGTTGAATGTCTCCTTTTTTTTTTTTCCTTTGCACTGTAGAAATATGAAGTTGTAACACTTAAAGTTCCTACAAATTTCCATGTGTCTAAGTTGGACTTACAACCTTGTACATAGCTAATCTGTTTCATCTCCTTTGGGACAACATAGATCAGATACATGTGTTTTCCTTTTTCACACAGTTAGAAATAGGGCAGACAACTTGTTGTTAGAAACCTTAAATCAACTAGATTTTGTCTTTATATTGTTATTCAATTTATGTCTTTTGACTCTTTTCATATTGCAATGTTACTGGAACAGTGTAAAAATTAAAGTGTATCTACAATCTATATGTATTTGGTCATTTGTTTGAACAACTGACTATTCTCAAGCATAGAATTATCTTCTGGTTAACTCGACAGAGCTAGAGATTATTCTTACAAGCAAAAAAAAGGGTTCTAAAGAGAAAATAATCCACCTTTCAATAAGCGAGGACTTTTCTTGTTCTATGCTCAGAATCACATACCTCCAAGACAGTCCACTCCTCTACTGAGTACTATGCACATTAGAGTTCCACTGAGCAGACGCACCCCTACCTCCCTCGCTGTCAAAACTCTCCTCTCCATTGAGACCAGTCACCTCCAACCCACCTGCTGTGGTGGGGCGGCTGATATTTCGACCTTCTTTTTCGTATATAATGAAAAGTTGTTTCTGGTTCAAAAAAAAGATAGGAACGGGATGAGCCAATGCTAATTGAGTATATGTGATAAGATAGGCCACAGAAGTTAGATTCTTTTGCTGGTTTAGTGTATATGATCAAGTCCGTATGCTAGATGATCTTGTTGTTATGACTGTTTAATTTGACAAGCTATATGGTTTTTTTTCTTCTGGCAGAATTTGCGAGATATGTGGGGCAACTGCACAAAATGTTGCAAGTCAACAAATAAGTGAACCAAACAATGCCGTTGTGGCTGCAGCTGCAGCTGCAGTAGCGTCCTCAGCTCCATCAGCGCCCCTAACTCTCGTCGAGACTCGAACAATCTTTCACGGGCGTCGTATTATGAACTTTCTGCTTGCTTGTATGCTCCTTGCATTTACAATGTCCTGGCTTTTTCACTTCAAGTTAATGTCATAGACTTGTTGGAAGATCACCTACTGGAGGGAAAAAAAAGTTAATGCAGAATGAAAATTTGAGGCATTCCAAGTTGTGGGGAAAATTTGGGTTTTGTACATATGTTTACACTTTAGTTTATTTAGTTAATTTTGGTAAGGTCTTGATTAGGCATTTCTTAATTTTGTGTGCTGAAGCTGAATGAGCTTAGTAAATATAAGTACCTCTCTTGTTGCTCAATATACATTTTTCTGGCAAGAGCAACTCAACAGAAAAAAGATAAGCGACTTGAGGGGATTTTCTAATTTAATCTAAAGCATAGGTTTAAATATATTATATAATTAGCCCGTTTTTGGCTTTGATTCATGTACTTTCAAAAGGATTTAATTTGGTTCATGTAATTTAAGTATGTTCATTTTGGTATACTAGCAATAATCACTGTACATTGTACATGGAATTAAATGTTTGTTTTTAAAATATATTAAAAATGATGTTTAAAAAACTAAAATATGAATTTACGAAAACTTAAAAAGCAAAATAAGAAACATATATTCTCATCCATAGATATATCTCTACCATTTGATTGTGATGTTTCATATCGTAATCTGGATCACACCATATGCGGATGATAACACTCTTCTTTATGTAGCCACAATGGATTAACTCCTCTCAATGAATATATTTACCTGAATAATTTTCTCTTGCCAATAAATTTTTGAAAATTTAAATGGCAAAATAGGAAAACAAAAACCCTTATAATATGAAAACTAATACAATAATCTATTAGGTAAATAATTAATTTAACAAATCAAGTAATAAATATGCATGGTTAAGTACTCGAGTTAGTTAATAAAGACATAAACATGAAAATAAACATGAAATAAGGAATTTAAAAGTAATTAAGACATATACAACAACAATCAAGAGTCTATACTATATTATAGAGAATACGAACAGTAATAAACTAAAATAAATCATTAATATATTAATATAAAAATGTAATTTTATATTCTACCTCATCATCAAATCAAATAAACTTATAGATTCTTGGATCTTTAGTGTTTCTCTCACAAATAACGAAAATTTTTAATTTTCATTGCAAGAGAAAAACCTTCATAAACATCTTGAGAGAGAGAAAATATACAGTTTTATGTATGGTGTTTTCTTTCATGTTATATAGATATTTGTAATCACACCTATTTGAGAATGGATATATCATTTCATCAATCACACCTCTTGGATTAACTTATCTATCTAAAAAAAATACATCGGTCTATTATATTATATATAAACAATTATCAATCTCAATCGCACCCATAGGTATTTATTATAATTAATGTATCACTTTTATTCTTTCTCTCTCATCTATGGATTAGATCTATAAATTTTTAATTAGTTTTTTTTATATACTTTTATGATTTGTTCTCGGTTTATACTCTAATTTTTTTATTTGATATGATCTTATTATATAATATGATAATTAATATTAATTAATATCAATAAATTTTTTAAATAGATATTATTACTTTTAAATATTACAATAATAAAACATAACAATATGTTATATTAAAGTTGGGTTGTTCTAATAAAAAATATTTTATTTGATATAATTTTATTTTAATTATTCATTATGTATTAATATTAGTTAAATTGTTATAATAAAAAATATTTATTATCAATGATATAGTAATAAATTAAATTAAAATTTATTATTATTGTAATTTAAAAAAGATTAGCACAATAATATATGTGTATTTAGTTAAAAAGAAAAAAGAAGTATATTAGTAATTGTTATATATCTGATTCCGATTCCGATTCCAGACAGTTTTAATAACACAACATCAAAGGAATTCTGATTACGATTCTATAAAATTTCTAATAAACAACATAATGGAATAACATTACGATTCTCATTGATTTCATTACGATTGATTTTCATTTCGATTGCAGATAAGTAACCGTGGTCTTAGTCTTTTTGTTTTGGAAACGTCTGTTTTGATTTCTATATTTTAAAAAAGTGGTCATTTTGATCTTTATTTATAAAATTTTAACAAAAATTTTATGTACGATAAAAAAAATAATGCAAACTTGTAGCTACATTTCAAATTTAGTAAGTGGAGTGTTATAATTAAATTTTGATTGAAATAAATTAGATAAAAATGAAAATTAATAGATTAAAATGGTCACTTTTAAAATATACATAAACTAAACTTTAATTTGAAAATCTAAAACAAACCTAGGTTAAAAGTACATGGATCAATATTTTGACCAAAATGAATCAAGTCATATATTTAAACCTAAAATATATATCAAGAATAATTATTAATCACATCTTATTTTATTTATTTTGACAACGATTTTCCACATTTAAATTTTTATTATTTTTTTAAGTTTTACTGCACAGGAATGTGATTTATAAAATAAATATATAAATATTATTTGTAATTGCAACATTCAAGTTCATGATTGCAATGTAAATGGGAAATAAACGTGGAGGAAAACAGAGCGCTTTCAGTTGCACTCTACACGGTGACTATCTTTTTGGGTGTGTAAATCCTGCCACCTCAGACTTCTATTTTCATCATCATATATTTATCGTAGAGGTTCATTTTCCCCACTCAGGAAACGGAAAGGGAGGACGGTCCTGAATTTGAACCCGATTCCAAGCGAGTAAAATTGGATGACGCAAACTAAGCATAACTCAACTAGTTAAAGTATCTCTTTTCTACTAAAATAATAAATTCGAATCTCCACCCTACATATTACATATCAAAAAAATGAAAAAATAATAATAATATTAATTGCAATGTTGTTTACGTAAACAACATAATGAAACTGAAAGTTGTAAGTAAAAATTAATAGCTAAGGACCTGTTTGATAACCATTTCGTTTTTTGTTTTTGGTTTTTAGTTTTTCAAAAACATGCTTGTTTGATAAATAATTCAATTTTAAGAATCATTTTGAAATTCTATGTAAATTTCAAAAACAAAAAAAAATAATTTTCAAAGACAGGTATTTGTTTCAAAATCTCATTTTTCTTCTAATATTTAACTTTTATTTTTCTTTCTCATATTTATCTCTAAAAAAATTATTTTTCACTCTAATTTTTTTATTTCTAAATTTTTCTCTACAAACTTTATTTTTTTCTGTCTAAAATTTCATATTTTAAATATTTATTGTTATTTGTCCCCTCCAAATTTTTATTTTTTTTTATTTTTTTTTCTAATGGACTAGTTTCATTTCTCTCTCCAAAAATTTAATATTTTTCCTAACTTTTTCCTCTCTAAAATTTCATATTTTATAACTTTTCTTTCTCTTCGTAATCTATTTTTCCTCTAAAAATTATATTTTATTTTCTCGTTTAATTTTCTTAACTTTTATTTATCTTTTTATTTATTTATTTTCTATGAAAATTATATTTTGAATATTGTTTTTATCTCTAAATTTGTTTCCACTATAATTTTTCTCTTTCTTTATATCTTTATTTTTTTTCCAAAATTTTTCTCTTTTTGTCTTTAACTTTTCTTTCACTATTTTTTTCTAAATATTTTTATTTATTTCTCTAAAATTGACAAAAATTTCCACATGGTCGGGTCCCAAAAATAGAAAATGCATGTCCCGACCACGATCATCATCGCATCCACACCATTGACATCTCTAATCTACATAAAAGTTCCTCTCTCTAATATGTATATTCAATTTTCTAACTTTTTAAAAATAAAAAACTAAAAATGGTTACCAAACATGTTTTAGTTTTTTGTTTTTTAAAAATAAAAAACAAAAAATGGTTATCAAACATATATAGTTTTTGTTTTTTAAAAACGGAAAACCAAAAACTAAAAACTAAATACTAAAAACAAGAAAAACCAAAAACCAGAATGGTTATCAAATAGACCCTAAAAATATGATTTTCTTTTCCCTAAATTTCCCACAGGTTCAAACAAATAACAGTCATCCGTTTATTTTCTAAGATCTTGAGTTACTTTATATCCTAATAATTAATTTGATTAAAATTATTCTTACTTCTACGAAAACTATCCTGAAATGATAGAAATTCACATCATTTCAAAGAATTTTAACTTGTCATATGAAGACCATATTAGTACACCTAACATTTTTCCTTTCCATTGATCATTCAGACAGAGAATCAGAATCCAGTTAAGATCATTCCAAATCTTTCTCGTTCCAAAAGAGATAAAGAACTCGAAACCATTTCCAATATTTCAAATCATAGAATATAGAATCAAGCGAATTCGTGACAGAAGGCCATCCAATTAAAATAAATCAATTGGAAACTTATTTGATATTAATGTCTCCAACAGGCTTGGTGAGTTTGAAATCAAGAACAGATTTGTCAAACGTGTTCCTCACGTGCTGGCACACCACCATCAAGTTCTGGCACGAATCTTTCAAAACCTCTCTTGCAGAATCACCTGCCACGTTCCATCAAGATTCAAAAGCCCACACCTCAGAATCAGCAGTAATTATAATTATAATGCTAATTCTAATTCTAATTCTAATGCGTAGTCACTTCAACAGATACATAGGCCCTGCCATTTCCATGTGCTTTGCTTTTTCCTAGTAATCAATATCTTTGCATTCATTTTGGACAACACTATCTAGACCTCTAACAACTTAGGTGAACTTGTTAGATTTTACTTCACAATTGAAACAAGTGATATTTTTGATAACGAGCCATAGCTTTTTTCTCCTATACTCAAGGACACTCACAACTGCCCCAAGGCCCGGACCCGGAAGACATCAAGAGTTTTTGGTATTAAGCTCACCAGAAAGTTCGAACTGAGACCTCTAAAAGCTAGTATGATCAAGAGATCCCAAATACTTGCCAACGACTACCCCTTGGGGGCAATTGAAACAAATGATATTTTGAAGGTTAAATAATAGTGCAACATGCCTTTAGGACAAACAACAGTTGATTTGGCACTTGACGGGAACAAGTGGATAATTGAATAAAATAAAGTGGTATATACAACATATATCTTTTTAAAGCAGCATATCAAAACTCTTTTATATATCGTACCACTTTACTCTATCCAATTGTGTACTTAACTTTCTTCTACTATTTTCCTATTATGTTATGCCAAATCAACTCATGCCTATTTAATCATCACAGTTCAAATTTTAGGGAGGTAACTAAATCTTTTATATACAGTTCGTTTCTCAAAAGAAGAAATAATAATAATCGAAAGATTTTCTTTGTAGGATCACACCCTGCATACGCCCATAGACTATCCATCTCATGAATGCATATATTCGATGAATATAAAGAGAAGAAACCAGGCAAGATAAACAAATCTAAGTATCAGAAAAATGTCCTAAATAATGGGAACTGGTCTGTACTTTAGAGAATCTGAATACCTCAGAAAAATTACCTGTTGTTTGGACTCTGATATTAACACGATTATCTGAAGGATGAGGGATGCTGTATCCACAGAATGTCACTCTTGGACTGCAAGACGATATTGCAAGTAATTTAAAAGTATATCAGATATAATATTAGAATATAATAACAATCAACTAGCTCTTTTAGGGAAAAGAAAGGACAACATAACCGTCGATTCCTCTTGCTTGAAAAGGAAAAAATGTATGTGATAACATTAGAAATAACTCTTATGAATGGACAGCGAGAGAAACCAATATTAACACATACAATGGGTGAACGAAGTACATAAATTTATGCCGGATGAGTTATCCAAGAATGAAAAATCTATATCATAATTAATTATTAATGTCATGAAACTAATAGAAGCCAGTGACTTTTGGAATAATTAATTTCTAAACGGCAAATTCTTTGACACGTCTTGTAAACAGTTAAAATTATTCATTAAAAAACAACTGAATAAGAGCTCCTACTCTTGATTCAAGGTGTATCTGAGAGCATTTGCAAGTGTATGATCTTCATCAGCCATAGAAAATGTCGATTTGCTCTCATCTGAGAACGATCCATGTTCCATTGCTAGAAAAAAAAATGGAAAACCAAACACAATCAGCATCTCTATTAAACAAAGGGGTAAATAAATTGACACAATATTAGAAAAAACTAAACCAGAAGTCTACAAAACAAACCAAAATTTTGACCACATAAGAAAAAATAAGCCAACACTCTACAAAACCAACAGAGCAAAAAACTCGAAAGCTCTTCTCCACCAACTCCTAAGAAATGAAATATCACTCTCTGAGACTTAACACAGCTGCAGGCACATAAATTGGAACCGATGACATGACTTTGGTTTTCAGAAACATGAAACTGAACTAACGTCCAAATAATTCCTGATATTCGCCCGACTTAATTCAACTTGTCCACACTAATTCCAGAACTCACAGTCCAAATCCTACAACATGAAGTCATGAACCCATGACCAAGCCAAAATCATTCAACTCACAATATTCCAACATGTTACATAAGCACATAATACAGACAGCCTAATAATCTCAAAGCAGCAACATGCTTCAATAATCATAGTGAGCATACAATGCACTTGCAACTCAGTGACAACATAAAAGCATAACTTTGAACATAGTACCAACCTATAACAGAACACATAGTCAACTCATGCTTCATTCCAAAATCAACTATTCAGAACTTGAAGTCACATATACATAATATAAACTAAAATACAAGCAAGCACCCACCACAAGGACTACTTACTAAGGGTCTTATAGGGGAGAGATCGGCTCGTGAGTCTTACGCCTGGCCTCGGGGTTTCGCCGCCGCCTCTCGGATGGGTGCTACAGATCTTGTGCCGCCGGGGGAGGGGGAATACTCGTCGTCCCGGGTCGTTGCCGGAGGATTGCGCCGCCGCCCGTCACCTACCAAGATGCGCAGCCGGAGGAGAAGCTCGCGTCGGGGCGTCGCCGGCCGTCAGGGTTTTGAGAGGAGCCGCGGTTACCCAATCTACGACTCACGTTGCCGCCGTGGGGAGGAGAGCCGCCCGGGCTTGGTGGGTCGCCGGCCGTCGTGGATATATCGTCGGAGAGGGGAGAGGAAGATTCGGAGGTGGCTGCTACACACGAAGAGGAGGGAGAGAGATTCAGGTGGTGGCTAGGGTTTAGACGATGATGATGTAATGACCTCATGTATTAGAGGGTTTTACTTTTATTTTCTTAATTTCTGCTTTTTTTTCCCAATTTAAAAACTCAAATAAACCCCCTAAAAATTTTGGGATAATCTATGAGAGAAATTTGGGGCATTTTCATAAATAATGTAATTTTAAAAATAAATTGCAAATTTAAGGTAGATTATAAACTAAAATTATAAAAATTTTAAATAAATAATATAAATTCAAAATATGGTACATTTCAAAACTATTAATAAAACTAAAGTGGTTATGGTCAAATTCAAAACTCGTGGGCTCCGTTTGAATCCGATGTGGCGGGTGGAGGGCTAGTTGGACTCATAAATCATGTACGTTGCACGCGATTTGAGGAAACTCATATACAATATACACGATTTACCTGGTACATGAGTTCCTCAACGTTTATAATGTACACGATTTAGGTAAATCGTGTACATTGTACATGAGTTCATGTTTTCACCCAAAAATATATATATATTTTCCTTCTAAATTTTTTATACTAGGTGGGATTTGTCTTTATTTATTTTTATTTTTTATTTATTTTATTTTTTTGCAAAAATTTTGAAAATTTTCTAAGTCTTTTGTTGTGGTTGGTTGAATTGTGAACTAAATTCATGCACCACAAGTTGATTAATAAAAGTTCAATACACTAAATTCATGTACCACATTATAATAAAAATTAACTTCAATGATAAACTAATTCAAATTTGTTAATAAAAGTTCAGTACACAAGTTGATTTAAAATGTGATAGTTGATTTACATAATATTGATAAAAACTCATGTACCACATGATGGTCGTCTTCTAGGACGAGCTCCACGACGAGATTGAGGCATAACAATATGTGATGATGGATGATGAATTATATAATTCATATCTTGTTGTGTTACCTCAATAGGTGATAGTTGTGGTAATGCATTCGGTGGATGAATTGAACTTGATGCGATGATTGAATGAACTACAAGTGTAGGAATCATAATAAAATCTAACTAAAAAAACAGTTGGTGGAGGCAACGACGACGATGGATGGTAGTGCGATTGTGGCTGAGTTGAGAGAGGAGAGGAAAAGAGAGAGAGGATTAGGGGTTTTGGTTTGAAAATGAGAGGTGGGGGAGGGATAGGGTGGAGACGAAGCTCGTGTACTTATACACGAGTTTGGTGAAATCGTGTGCATTGTACACGAGTTCAGTGAAATTGTGTGCATTATTACACACGATTTCTTACAACACACGTGGCTCCAACTCTGTGTCGTTGGAGCCACATTAGACACAACTCGTGTGCATTGCATACGAGTTTACTGAATTCATGTCCATTAGACTCGAGTTTACTATTAGCTACCCCACTTTTGAAATTAATTTGAAAACTACACTATTTTTGTTTTTTATTTTTTAAATTACATTATTTAAAAAAAAATGCTCGAGATATTTTTGTTTTGAAATCTAAAGATGTGATTAAAAAATATTTTTAATTAAATTAAATTGAACTTCTAAAATATTGAGTTTTATGAAGATTATCCAAAATTATGTCCAACTGCCTAAATAACCCTAGCCCCATGTGTGTAACACTTGTATAAATTGCGTATAAATAGTGGTAATTCATGGATAATAGCAGTGATAATTGGAGTGGATTTTGGTGGAAAATTTTGTTGAATTTTCAAGAGAAATTGGAGAGAAATTAAAGAGATTGTTTTTTCTTATTTTCTAAATTTATGTTTTCATTTTCAATTCCAATTTTATATTTTGTCCAATCTCATATTTTATCGTTGTTTATGATTTGTGATGCCTCATTTTGCTCGATAATTTTACAAGAAGTTTGATATTTAATTAAAAATATTTTTTCTAAAATTAAAAATTTTAATTATTCACGAGGCTGAGAAATAAGTGCCTTGTTGAAGCCCCACAAATCTCTAAACTTAAGGTTGCCTGTTTCCTACAAATTTTTCTAAATAGGACGGAAAATCTCTTTTAGATTCTTTGATAGGTGGAGGTAGAGGAAGTATTTTCCTTCCACCTAAACGGAGTGGGGGAATACGTTCCGTGTCTCTGTTCCCCATTATCTGCTCTGCCTCCCTTTAAATATAGTAGTAAGAAACACGTGCGATGCACGTGGAACTCAAAAGTTTTATTTTTAAGTACAAAAAAATTAATTAAAAAAGTGATAAATTATAACGTAACCTAATTTTATAAAATTGAAGATGTTAGTTTCAGCATTTTATTATTATTATATTAACATTTTAGGTATTCGTATTATATTATATTAATTTTAATTAATACAAAATATTGATTTAAACATATTTTCTATTCATTTATTTATGGTACCTTTTACAATTCCTAATTATTTATTTATGTGAATATTTTAGATAATTCTTTTTTTTATCATATGAATATTTTTTTATTGGAATTTAAATCAACACATGCGATGTTGCATGAATGCTGAACTACGTATTATATTTTATCATGATTTTTTATAAAAATATTTTATCGGGATTAATTACAATTCTTCATTTATCGTCAAAAAATATCACAATATATTATTTACTTACGATTTTTTTTTGTAATTATAATTTAAAAATAAAGGATAATTAATTATTCAACAAAATTGAAACTGAATTTAAACATGTTAATGAAATTAATAATTGTTTTATATAATACAATACATTATTTATTGGACTTTATTTTTAAATTAGAAGTGGGAAAGTTACATAATAATTACCTACTATAGTTCTCACCTATTTTTACCTATACCGACCCAATATTATCATATGTAGCTCAACCATAAACTTCAGCTAATAACAGAGCCCGACTACAAGGATTTTGTATTTCTAAAC